ATTTAGACGTCACACATACTTCAAAAGGCCCCGTTAAATCAAGACGGTGCCTCGGAATCAACAACGAATCTGTCGCGGTTCTTTGATATACAGCTATCTACAAGTTACGTTGGAAATTATACCAAACCCTGAACCAATTAGAGGCCACAGTATCGAGTTGGACTTTGACTTCTGACTTCGGTCTTTAATATTACACTTAGATATTTGAATTTGGTGTATCGACAATTATGAACTTAACCATTCCGACTTTTTCGAGTCCTGCTCTCTGCGAGGAAGTTTTCCCGTTTTCCCGTTTCGGCCGGCGCTGTGACAGGACTGCGTGAAGTGTGCTGACGACGTGACGTCATCGACCCTCTGCCCGTCGGGTGACCTCTACCGGCCCACTTTTGGCTGCGTGCCAACACTAACCGTGCCATGGCCGTGCACGGCACGTCCCCACTCCCCATTCGGCTCGGCGCCGGCCGACCCGGCCAGACACGGCCCAAAACCGAGTCTGCGCCGTCCCACTGGGCGCAATCGCTGCCGAAATGCCGGGGAGTGGCATCGGTAATCGCCGCGTGCTGTCCGCGCCAGCCGGGTGATCCCGGGGGTCATCACTGACCCGCCCGGCCCTGCAGGATCACACTCGGAGGCAGCGAGCGACTCGCAGCGCCGGGCCTCGACCCAATTTCCCGGGGACATGGCGCGGTCACGACCCGTGCCTCGAGGTCAGTCTAAGGTGGGGCGGGGGGGGGGGGAGGCGCATCCTCCGCTGCAGTGGAGAGCACGGAGGTCGGCTCAGTTCCGCCGCCCCCGCTCACCGCCCGCGGCTATTTCGGTCTCCGCGACAGGCCTGGGCTGTATCCGACGGAAACAGTCTCCGTCTCAAATGAGCCGAAATCCGACAGCCTACACTGTTGAAGATGGTCTGGGTCGATCATCCGTTCCCATAATTTGTTGCTGATGTTTCGGTTCAGACGCGTCCTGCTCCAGCTTAGGATATAGGTCATCGGTCATAAATGAAGACATACGACATACGAGTATGGTGAAGGACAAGGATGTCAGACTTGACACAACCAGACGGCAACGGATAAGGTGACTTATATTGTCAATAACCGTTGAATAAGGCATGACAGGACAGGTGCGGGTTGAAGAAGCCTATCAATTATCATTATGTCATCCACGACAAAGTATAACAAAATAGTCGGTACAATAGCATATGAATGTTAAACATATAAACTTAATATGAGAAAGCGCTTGTTTGGGGCTCATGATGATAAGTATAATGATGAAAGAAAACCGAAGCCTCATAATAATGAATGTATTCTAAATTATGACCGAGAATACAGAAATATCTCTTTATTCTCGGTCATAATTTAGAATATTCATTACTTATGCGTAAAATGACCAATAAAAAATGCGTCGCACATATCCTATCCCTAGTTCGTCTTTGGTGGCCTGACCTGACCTTGACCTTTGCATGACATTTTATGCAATTGCATTTTGTCTTGGTAGCCTAAGGACGCGTTTTGGGTGGTTAATCAATAATCTCAGTCCATTCTTCGCAAGCTGGACTCTAAAGCCAGTAATGTTGAAACTGTTTTCACCCTTGGCCAGACCTTGACCTGGCCTGTGACCTACTTGGACAAAGAAATTGTGCTCATAACTTATAAGGTCCGTCTTGTTGAGAACTTTCGATTGTCGTTTTCCACGTTTTTCTAACCATCAGTTCGGAAGTTAGACAGGGGGAGAGGGCAGAGTCTACCCCCCCCCCCTCCCAGCGGAGAGCGTGTGATGAACTTACAGTGCGCTCGAAAACAAAGAAGCTCGTACAATTCCAACTTTTATCTGTGCATGCCATGCATGCATGCATGCATGCATGAGAATGACATAGGATGCTTCAAGACGGTATGTCACCCATTCAAATTACGTTTTGCATGGGCCAAGGAAGGGTAGCAGGATGCACAATGCACAGTGCACATTGCATAGACATTGTGCATATGTTTCAGTTCAAAATTGTAGTAGTTATTTTGCTGCTCTCTTAACCCTGAGGGGAGGGGCGGGTGCCACCCCAAAGTTTTTTTTCGCGGTAGTTCGGAACACGTCAGCGTGGGAGAACTGTAATTTGACATACCTGACATTTGATTCAGGCCGAATCTTTTGATACCAACCGCATTTTCAGGTAAGGTCAGGTCACTGACCTTTGACGTCATAAGTAAGCCCCTGCACGGTCCTGAAATGTCGAAACTTCGCAACGCCGCTCCAATCCAGAGGAGCTTCCACGGGGAGGTGAAACTCCTACAGTTCTGTACTTAACCTAGCATCCTCAAGAGGTCTCACGGCTTGCATATCTCGGATTTTTTTTCTTCTAAATGTCACATGAGGTCAGGTCCGTCAAAAGCCCTCACCATTATAAGTCAATGGGGAAATATGGAACTGTTACTTTCGCGCCGGGAATGATCAAAACCTAGCTCATGAGCCGCGGAATCGTGATTTCATGCACTGCTTGCAAGGACCGATGCTTCGTTTTTACATTGTTGACTTTGCGACGACGTCATAAATGACTTAGTGACGTCATTTATTACGTCACTATTCACTAAGGTCATATTTCGACCAGCTTCGTGAGCTGAGGGACTCTGACCTGACCTTGACCCGAGGTCAACAGTCAACACCCTAAGTTCATCTCTCCCGAACAGAAACTATACCATTCGACGCGCTAGACAAACACGATGATGCCAAAATCGCGGCTCTGTCATCATCGTTGGCGAATTTATTTACCAAAAACCGAGCCCATGCATTGGGCCACTTGACCTAGCCTCAGAGGTGCCCTTAAAATCGGGTACCACTCGCTGCGTATCGGAACGGCGCACACGTTCATTTTTCCGCGAGACTCTAACTTATAGGAACGAAACGGCGAGAAGGGTCGTACCCCCTTACCTGTAGAAAAACAGTAGGTCCGGCGAGGGTTAAACCACTTGCCAAAGGAAGCTAAGCTCGCCTATTGTTTGTTTATTGGGGCAGCTCGCCTGGGTATTGACCTTCGTTTTACCACAAAAGTAGTGAGGTCAAGTGAAGTAATTCAGTCTTCCATGAACATCTGTGCCGTGCACCCCTAGATGACACACATTGAACTGAGTAATTACGAGACGGGGTGAACTGACTGAAATGACTGAATCACGGTTATTGCTATATGTGAACTTACCATGGCTACCAGAGGTTGTAGGCCCGGAGGACAAGTTTTTATCGTCCCTGCAGTCCCGTTATATCCAGTAACAGCCAGTTCGCTGGTCTAACCAACCCAGCTATACGGTATTTATCCAAAACCGTCTGCACGTTTTATGTAGCATGCTAATACATTGGGATGTTATAATCGAGCTGAACAGCTTGTCAAGCCAATTATTAGATGAAAGCTGGCGAACCAGCGAACTGTTACTTTTCCTGCTGGAAAGAACGTAGTTTCGAGTATATATCGTTTCAGAGTTAGTCAATTAATAAGCATGAAATGGAATAGCTGGAAAAGTAAGAATAGTAGCTGGAATCTAGCCGAACGGGTAATTAAGTTTCCGACCTCGTTCCCAGCCCTCACAGGTGTGAGGTGGTCAGGCGCATGGTAACAGTGTAATAGGCACACGCTGGAGCTAATGTAACCACAGGCCGACTGTGTGTCTGCTCACCGACTCGGTAGCGCTCGGCTTCCCGAGACGCCAGCTGTCCTGGAGCAGCTACCGCTCACCGCCAGCCGTGTCCATTACACAGCGAGAAACCAGCACTAATGGCACCGGCAGCCTTCGAACTGCGGTCCCGTAAGCCCTTCGGTCCCGTGAACCCTACCGGCCGAGTAGATGGCAGTCGGGGAGCGGAGATAATTAGTTGACCAACATGTGTAACATAAAATAGTTTTATCTTTAGGGTGAATTTAAAAAGAATGAGGCAATTTATGCAAGGAAGTGGAATTATCATAAGTTTCAATCCCAGTCGAATTACTGAAGTGCATTGTAATACAACCACTGTTCAGCAAACTCTCATCATAAGGCCTTTAACCTGACTTCGGAGGTCACCGGTTGTCGAGTTGGATCAAAATGAAGTTGGGTACCCGTCGCGATACGTCTTGTAACGATGCACACGCTCGTTTTTTTTTCACGCGAAGCCTTAGCTCAATTAGGTAAACCGGCGATGGTGTACGATCGTATCCACCCAGCCCCTCCCTAGGCCTGTCCGTATGACTAGTGGCTAGCCTATGTGCAGAAAACCGATAGTTCTATGAGGTATTACGGTGCTTCAGCCTTCAAAACATTATGCCATATTCCAGAGAAAGATTCGTGTTCCTGATTCAGAGGACGTCGAAATGACACAACAGCGTAGAAATTGCACGGTATGTGATCAAACTTTACGTAGAATTGACGTTCTACCATCGTCAATATTTATTAAAACTAGAACGGGGTTACGGGATGAGAGAGAGAGCGGCCAGTGGTACCGGGAGGACTGGGCGGCGCGGCAGACTTGATTCAGAATCTGGCACGCCCGCGAGACATGACTCTGACTAACGGGTCAAAATGGCCGACGGGATCAGACTGAGTCAGACAGCGGTTCCGCAAAATTGTCAGACGTGTCAGGAAGGTGAGAGATTCCCGGATGTGTCAGACCAACTGCACTGCAGAACCACGTAATTGTACATATAGCCGAAGTACTTAAAGGTTACTTCACGGGTGTGGGAATGATGCGCACCGAAATAGTACTACGAGTATTTACAAAGGACACGTACCTACCTACTGACAGGAGAAACTGCATATATGTGCACTACATGAATCGACACTCAAGCTAAATTTGTACATACAAATACCATGAAGATATGCATAGACACACATTCTAAGTAGGTACTGCTACATGCCACGCGGCACCAGAACTTGTACTGACACTTGAACTCACACGGGGGTCTATCTAAACACTGCAGAGAGGTCACAGCGTTCCCTGTACCACCACCACCACCCCCACCCCGGGACCGTCTGTCCCACACCTGACACTCACCTGGTATCACTGCCGCGCCGGCGCCGTGTCGACTGGGACGTCACGGCCGTGGATGACCTCGCCGTCGCCTCGGGGCCGCCCTGTGCCCCCTCGGAGGACCCGCCCTCCTCCTCGATGATCACCAGACGGTCCTCCTCGTCACCGCTCTCAGCGTCCTCGGCGGGCGCGGACTCCTGCGACGCTGCTGCAGGAGGAGCTTCGGAGGCGTCTTGGACAGCCTGTTTGGGAGGCGCTGGAGTAACTGCTGTAGGAGCTGAAGATTCAGGAGTCTCGGAGGCCGGTTTGGGAGCCTCAGCAAGAGCTGGAGGTGGTTTAGAGGCGCTAGAGGTGGAAACTGGTGTTTCACTAGCTGCAGATGACGAAGTCGATATTCCACTAGCTGCCGTTGTTGATTCGGAACTGGATGAAGGAGCTGCAAAAGCGGCAGACGCGACTGGTGCGGGAGACGAAGTCACCGTCACTGCAGCGGACGACGCCACTGAGGTAGAAGCAGCAGAGCAAGTCTGAACTGTGGATGACGAGTTGGTAACAGATGATGCTGAAGAACTGGGTGCAGCTGCTGCAGACACAGTCTCAGATGACGATGCTGGTACGTCAACATTAGAAGAGCTTTGTGTTGTTGGAGCAGATGTCATCTCTGCAAGAGAGGTAGATGTTGACGCCGTGGCGGTGGTAGAATCTGATGATGCTAAAGATATCGCTACAGAAGATGCTGATGATACTGGAACTTCGGACGAAGTTAAAGCGTCAGCTGGGACGTCAGAAGCCGAGGATTTATCAACAGTCTCAACACTACTATCTAATGCCTTTTCCTCCGCTTCTGCGTCTTTTGTTTGCGTGTCCCTGGTCCCCGACACAGTCGAGTGCGCGTCAGACGTCACACTATCGTCCTCCACAGGCTCGTCTTTCGCCGGTCTTGGGTCCTTATCACTGTCCGGCTGAACATCACTAGCCACTGCCGAAGGGTTATCTCCTCCCGCGTCACCACATTGATCCGACCCGCGAGGTGGAACGTCTGATGTCAACGTCACGCCGCCATCACTCGCTGACGCTGCTGACGTCTCCGCCGACGTCACAGGTGCGTCATCTGCCGACGTCACAGGTGCGTCATCAGCAGATGTCACTGCAGCGCTGGTTTGGTTCGAGGTGACTGGACCGTCTGCAGAACTTTCTGAGGGTCCATTAGCACCAGATGGTGTGCCACTGGGCTCACCTGGGTCACCACAACCACCATCCTCACCACCGCCACCAAGATCACCACCGGCACCAGCGTCACCACCACTGGCGTCTACAGAGTCACTATTGGTGACTGGGTCGTCTGAGGGCGCTGACCGCGGCTCTCCCTCCGAGGTCCCGGTGGCAGCCGGAGCCGCGCCCGGGTCTGCTGAGGGGCCGTCCGACGGGGGTCGGTCTGGAGCGGTGGTGACTTCGGAGGCAGCAGGAGGCAGCGTCCCGGAGGAACCACCAGTGCCAGAAGAGACAGCTCCTTCTGGCGAGTTCAGGGCAGGGGCGGAGTCCGCAGCGGAGTCGGTCCCAGTGGTGTCCATCGGTGATTTATCCGCACCCGCTCTGTCGCTCGTCGGCGCTGCGTCTCCACAAGCGTCACCTTCCGGTCCCTCTGTCGGCGATCCACCTCCTGTCCTGTCCCCACCGTCCCCGACTCCCCGACCGGGGCCAGTCTCCTCCCCGTCGCCGCCCGGCGTCACACTCCCGTCAGTCCCGTCCTCCGTCTCCTCTCCCAGACAGGCCTGCACCAGGCCAGCGGCCAGCATCGCCGCGTCGTCGTCAGCGTCGCTGTCGTCCGGACAGGGCGGCAGCGGCGGCTGCATCTGCGGGGCCGGCTGCGCCAGCGGCCGCAGACCGGGCGGCGCGCGCCGCTTGCTGGGCCGCGGGATCAGGTCCGGCAGAGAGCGCTTCTGCGGCGCGGCGGCGGCGACGGCCGTCTGTGAGATGGGCCGGATGGTCACCTCGTCCGTCAGGAAGGTGGCTTTGTTCAGCGGCTGCTTCAGCAGGCTGAGCAGCTGCTGCTCCTGGGTGGGACGGGCGGACACCTGAGAGAGTGGTGTTAGCACCGGCGGGGCGCGGTAGCCGACCGCCACTCCGCCGCCCCCGCCTCCGCCCCCGCCTCCGCCGCCGCCGCCGCGGGCAGCCGCACTCAGACCGCTCATACAGTGGGAGCTGAAGTCTCCGTGCATCCCGCTGCCACGCGTCATCAGCTTCTGACGCAGCAGCGAGTTGGTGGACGGCGAGGGTGCCGAGACTGGGGTGCGGCCGGCGGCGAGCGGGGCCACGTCTGGCGGCGGGCCGCGCGGACCCCAGCCGCCCCCACCCCCGACGCCTGGCCGGCCCAGGGGGAACAGGCGCGCCGACGGGTCCGTCAGCAGCCTCTTCACCTCGGTCCGCGGGTCCTTGAGCAGCTTGTAGAGCCGGTCGCGGCTGACCTGCAGGATGTCCACCTGTCGGAAGGCCGGGTGCCAGCCCACGTATTTGACTGCCTCCAGTGTGAAGGTGGAGAGGTTGGCCAGCTCCTGGAGCGGCTGGCTGAGCAGCGCCTTCAGCCGCGGCAGCGGGATCAGCAGCAGCTCCGGGATGCCCATCTTGGGGTCGTTGAGGAAGGTCCACAGGGTGCCGGACGGCGCGCCCGTGGAGGTCGGAGGAGTCCGCACCGGCGACGGCGTCAGCTTGCAGCGCGGGTCTAGCGGCGAGCCGGTGCGCTCGGACGGCTCCGGCTTCTCGGAGCGCGCCCGGAACGTCACCGGGTCCCGGTTGTGGAACTTGAGCTTGAACGTCGGCTTGGTTGGCTCGGGCGCAGCCGCGGACGACACCGGCGGCGGTGTGGGGCTCTCCTTGGGCGAGTTGGAGAGCAGGTGTTTGAGCAGCTCGCAGCTCTTCTCGCTGCTGGGCAGCGACACTGCCGGCCGCGCCGGGTCTGGCGCCGGCGTGCTGTCCAGCAGCGAGGCCAGCATGGGCGAGCTGCTGGCCGCCTGCTGTGCGCCCCGCGCCGGTGCCGCCGCCCCCGAGCCCGGAGACGGGCCGCCCAGACGGATCTTGGGCACGGCGATCACCGGCGGCGGGTAGACCAGGCTCAGGGGCTCGTCGTCGACAGTCATCAGCTCAGACTTCGGCCGGGCGCTGAGCATAGCCGAGAGCTCCTTTTTCACGCTCAGTCTAATCCTTGGCGGACCTTCAGAGGCGGTGTTATCCTTTTCGGCACGTTTACCGTCACCGTCACCGTTCTCAGAGACGCTGGCGGTGAACCGTGGCGCTGCCTCGTCCTCCTTGGCTGCTTCGTCTGTCCTGCCCGAGGAGCTGCCGCTATCGGCCCGGGCGGAGCGGGCGTCGCTCGACGAGGCCGACCGGTTCCTCGAGTAGAGTCGCTTCAGTCGCGCCGTCAGCTCGGTGTCATCCACGTCTGGACCGACGTCTTCAGACGTGTCCTCGGCAGCCGCCGGCTCGGGCCGCTCGGAGGCTGCCGGTGCTGAGGCAGCTGCCGGAGGTGCGTGCGCCGAGGCTGAAGATGTTGAGGGAGCTGATGTGGCTTTGGATACCGCTGATGTTACCGTAGATGATTTTGATGTTTTTGACACTGCCGACGGTTTGGAGCCAAACGATGCGGCACTCAGGGTTTTCATCATTGCCATCGATTTCCTCATCAGGTCGTGTTTGGAGCGTACGCCATGTTTGGCCGCTCGTTTGGAGGCGGCGCCGGACGCGGCAGCCCAGCCGTGTTTGGTCCGTCTGAGGGTCAGCTTGGTGTTGGCCGGAGCCGCCGGCTTGAACAGCTCGCAGTGCGCCTCCTTTATCACACCGTTCACAATCACTGTCCGCAGGGTGATGGCGGGCGGGGGCGGGGGCGGCGGCGGCGGCGGCGGCGGGGGCGGCAGCGGCGGCGCCGGGGAGGCCGGCCGGGCGGCGCGGGTCACCGGCGCCTCCCCGGAGCTGGTCCGCGGCGCCGACCGGGACCGCACCAGGTCCGAGTAGTCCCTGGCCATGTTTTTGGAGCCGCGTGATGAGCGGGGCGGGTTCCGCCGTCCCCGGCCCGGCGCTCCATCGCGGCCGGCCGGCGGCTTCTCGTCGGTACTGCCGGCGGCGGGGGCGGCGGCGGGGGCGGCCGGCTGCTCGGCCGGGGCGGCGGGGGCCGTCTCGGCCGGTGCCGACTCGCTGCTGGACGCTGTAGATCGGCGACGTGCCGGTCCCCCGGCCGGCGGCGCTTCAGGACCACGCTGCGTCCCCGAGCGGGTCCGCGTCATTCTCGGAAGGCGTCTTCAATACCTGTCAAACACACAAACAGACAGACAGTCAGCAAGTTATAGCTTATAGGGCACACACGTTCCACTGTGATCAAGTTCAAACGAAATAAGATACTGATTCATGGGTAGTTATTGTGGACAGCTGCAATGCAATTTGACTGGCACCCTGCAACACTTAACCGCTGCATTCGGTACTTAAGTCGTTACATACGGCAGGAATAACAGCAAATAGCATTAGCACTTGTCACACTAGTGCTGAGGCCCCAGCAGTCGCAAACCAGCACCAATAACCAGCCGTCTATTTACAGAGTACCTAACGGGACAATGCGAACACACCGGCACGTTTTGCAAACTGATTTCCTCGTGACAGGCGGTCCGGGTGCAGCTGTACGTTCACGGGTCGCCATAGCAACCTGGGCACGGGAGGACTCGGCACGCCGCCGTCGCCGGCTCGAGTGTGGCTGTGTTAGTGACGCGAGACCACCGACGCCGGCCGCTCCACCCCCGGAGAGAGAGACGATCAGCTGATGTGACGTCAGCGCCGCCCCGATAGGGCCCCTCGCTGCGTCTGGCCGCCCCCCCCCCCCCCTCCCCCGCCCCGCCCCGGTCGGCGGGCGCCGTTTATAGGAAACGATACCTGATAATCGGTGACGGTGTGGTCCGAAAGCCCGTGAACTCGACGCTGGAGTGATACGCTAGTTGGGAAAAGCGGATAGAGTTATAACTCTCTGCTTGATCAACATGAGACACAAACGATGCGCAATTATCGAACGCAGACTATGCAATGGCAATACAAGACCGGCAAAGGGACAGGGACGATAACTTTGACTTTCTCTAGGACGCGGTGAAATGCTAGCCGTTATTTCTAGGTCAACTTCGTGAATGAGGTCATGAGGCCAAATGTCGAGCTGATAAATGCGATGATTCAGGCGTATCGAGCCTTGACCTATATCTTGAGCTCCCTTTGATGTTTTTTTGTCTATAGAGCGCAACAATAACCTCGTTGCTCGGTTCACGCTGACAGGTCGTGCAAAACGAAATTCGCGTTCCAATGCACGTCAGTCCCAAACCAATCGCGTTCGAATGGAAGCACTGTGACGAAGTTAAGCATTCAAGTGTTGAACTATTATTAGAACCAAAGTGAATGTCGTTTCATCTCAGTTCAACACTTACATGTTTGCATAAGTGTCACATCAAAAGATCGGAACTGGATAATGACGGGCACCGTTCATCCCGCCTTCTCTCCATCTCTCGTCGTGTTCTGACTATTCGATAATATATGTTCCGTCAGCGCCCACAGCTTAGCCCGGTGATCTGCTCTGGTGACCGGCCGCGCCGACCGGCACACACCAGCTCTCCGTGTCAGAGGTGGTGTCTGTCGGCGCTCCGGCGGCAATGTGCTCGGTGTATGCCGTCTCTGAGGCGGTCAGCGACCCTGCCGCAGTGAGCGGCCGCCACTCGCCACCGTCTGCCGTTCCGCCCGCCTGCATGGTACGCCACGCGGCACGCGAGACGGACCTCCGCCGCCCATACACACTGCACGGGCTGCTACGGGAGCGGTGGGCGCCCAACAAATAAATTCGGCACGGGCACAGCTGATAAACACAGCACGAGCACAACTAACAAACTCGGTGCAAGCCCAGTTTCTAAGCCCGGCGGACGCCCAACCGATAAACTCAGTAGGCCCAAACCGCTGAGCTCGGTGAGCGTTCAACTGCTGACTGTCTCAGAGACCGCTGAATTCGCGGGGACTCAACTGTGGGTTGTCTCGGAGACTTAAAGGGACCCTCCCACCTTTAAAAAAGTTTATGAATTGGCATGAAAGTGATGTCGCTCGGTTCAGAAAGAGCGAAAACGAATATCTACCAAATTTCACCGAAAAATATTCACCGGTTTTCAAGATATTAGACTTTTACTTTTGTTTACTTTTTGGGATCTCCGCTGTTCCTAGCGACTTTATTTAAAAGTGCGGCATTTGTTGCGCGCAACGCAGCATATACCACCGCGTGCTACAAAACGTTTTAGTCAAACATTTAACGGACGTTCGAAAGCCTGATGACGTCATCAGATTTAAGTGCCAATACCAATACATTGTGGCACTTATTTGCACAGATGTCAAAATCAAACTCAAATTTCTTTGCGATGAAGTAATTGCTGGAGAAACGGTTTTCACGGCACTGATTTTCAAAGAACGTCCATCAAGATGGCTATCTCAACTCAAATCTAATGTTAAGGTGGGACAGTCCCTTTAACTGCTGCCTGTCCCGGAGACACAACTGCTGCCTGTCCCGGAGACACAACTACTGACTGTCCCGGAGACACAACTGCTGACTAGAGATTGCAATCCCGGAACGTTTTGCCAATCCCGGGATCCCGAAAGTTTTTATTTCGGGATCCCGGGATCCCGGGATCCCGGCCTTGTCACTAAATGTCGTAAGAGTGATTTCCTACTGACATATTTTGCGTCTTTAAGCTAACCACAAACAAAGAGGCAACCAAAAGCCATCCTTAGACCATGTCATTTGCATTAAAAACGATTGAATTTGCGAATAAAACGTTTCGATTTGATTAGCATTAGCATTTATTCCCAATTGGCCTTCATAAAACTGTGCGTCGACCAGATCGTTTACTAGACAGGTTCCAGCACATCCACGCCTCACTCACTCTTCGTCTACGCTACTCGTAGTTAGCGCGACAGTTTTAAGCCATTGCCATGTTGGTCTACTTAAAAACTCGCAACCAGTGTACGCCAACTTTGGCAGCTCCCTATTTCACAATGTTTTCAAAACGTCGCTTGGTCACTTTACCTCCTTCCGGTTCCGCTTTCATCATTAACCCGGCAGGCGGTGGGCCTACCAGCCACCTTCCGCGCGGTGGGGGGGGCACTTTTTTGCCCCCCCCGTATCTCCGAAACTACTGGACGGATCTGGAAAATTCAAACGGCGTTCGATAGCCCTGTCAAATTTGTCGAAGGAAACCAAATTTCATTGACCTCGGGGTCACCGATGACGTCACAGGTCAGGTCAAAGATAAAATGTTTCGCCGTTCACGGGGCTTCTAGGGAAAGCGCTATAACACCGAGTAAAACGCATTTTGTCGAAAATCAGCGATAAGGCGTCAGTTGTCTAGTACATATGTTGCTATTAGAGGTCACTGGTCATACCAGGTCAGGTCACAGGTCAGGTCACCAAAGGTCACCAAGGGTCACCACATGAGCCCAACTTTACTAAGGTTATGTTTTATGGCCAGTTTTTCATTTCCAACTCAATGGTGTTGGTTATAAGACCATCAGGTACGGTTGAGGTCACTTTCTGGTGGAGGTCAGGTCAAGATCAGGTCAAAAAAGGTCAAATTTCAAAGTTGATATTTTTGCATAAAATGGGTATCGATTCGATGCAGCTCGTCACGGGGAGTCTAATGGTGGTCTTTGTTTTGCGCTACGAGGTCAGGAATTGCTAAAAATTGAGTTTGAAAATTTGACGTCATCAATTTTGAACAGTTTTTTCGCTATAACTTGGCCAAAAAAAGAGGTATCGATCTCAAATTTGGTATGTAGATTGAAGGTGGTAGGGACTATCACATATATTCCGGTTTTTTCGAAATTCAAAAAACTTTTTGGATTTTTTGGCTATTATATTCAAAAAATCTATTTTTTGATTTTTGGGGGTCAAAATCCAAAAAAATTGAAAAACCGAAATAGCAGTTTTGTACCCTTTTGATTCCACACCTTTTATGTCTAAAACGTTTTTCTGTATCTCTAAAGCTGTAGGCCTGACAGCTCTTCCCGCGAAACCTTTTTTTGGGTCGAAAATGGCAAAAATGACGTCACTCTGACGTCATTAGCGGCCAACCTATCATAGCCTTTGGAAAAATTTTTGGTCACCATGTGCGCTAGCTGCTCCCGGGAGGGTACTGAAAGTTTGGTGACGATCGGCGCAGCGGTTCTCGAGATATATCGAAAAAACTAAAGGGGGGGCAAAAAAATGCCCCCCCCCCACCGCCTGGAAGGTTAATGTCTCTCAGAATTTGCTCGAAAGTCGCTTTGAGAGCAGAGTCACTGACTGGGAGAGCTCCACTCTACCGTCTTCAACGTCTGAATCAGTGAGCTCTGCCGTCACTTGCGTGACATCTGTGACATCTTTCTGCGACACGAGCTCAAAGACTGTCTTGATGACCTCCTTTGTTCCGGCCACGGACGGGCAAGTCAGAATCGCTGAACGATCTGTGATCCTGATAAAGATGTTGCAGCGCTGATGCTGCATTTTTTTGGCGTTCGGGACCTTTTTTCGTACGTATTTAAGCGGCTTAACCGCTGTGGGTGATACCCGAGAGCTACCAACACGGTCGATTGTGGACGGCCAATACGGGGTGCCAGCTAAATAGTTTATCTGCTTTATGTCACGCAGCACCATAAACAGTGTAAACAAGACTCGTGCAGCGGCTGCATTCTTTTTAAGGTGAAAACTGATTCTTTTCGGGATCCCGGGATTGGCGGAATTTCGGGATCGGGATCGGGATTAAAATCCCGCCGGGATCCCGGGATCCCGATCCCGGGATTGCAATCTCTACTGCTGGCTGTCTCGGAGACACAACTGCTGACTGTCTCGGAGAACCAACTGCAGACCAAGGCCATGTATGTATATCTGCAGACTGTCTTAGAGACTCCACTGAAGAAGCCGAAGGTTGCGTACGACAACGCCCGACAGGGAGAGAATTTCACGGTGGACTACATGATAGTAGAT